TTTCAATTTCAATATTGTAAACAATCATATTTTTGAAATAGAAATATATATTTATTTTGAAAAATTAAACTAAAATTACAGCAAAACAACAATCTTGTCAAATTTTGCAAAGTTTTATATAATTGATGATGTTAGCTGTATTCAGCACTTAATATAGTACGTTGTTAAAATTTAATTAAATACTATTATTGTTTACTACTATAATATTTGAATTTTTTCTCCTAATTACAGATGCACAAATGATTATCAATAGCAAACTATTATCAAAAAAATTATTTATATTTGATATAAAACAATTGTGAATTTTCTATATATTTTTGAACAACAAAATTGATTTGAGGTTGCATATATATGCAAATAAAGAAAAAAAATCAACAGCATCCAACAGGTGTTCTCCTAATTGATTCATCATTATAATTCTTAAGAAATATAACATCTGTTACCTGTAAGGTTCTTCGGACCATTTTACTTGGAAATAAATTTTGTGAATGTAATACGTTTTAAAGATTTATTTCGACATGTTGAATCTGCTCAGGTGTATGTATGGATAGTAATAGTGCAAAGCAACTTAAATGTTCCTCATTGTGCAAAATGGTTAATGCTTTGGAAAATGAATTTTTGCTTGAATAACCAAGAAACGTATTTAACAAAATAGTTGGAACTGAGTTTGGTTAAGATTGCGTACATCGCCAGGTATAATGAAAGACTTTTTAAATTAAAGATATTATATAAACGTGAGATAATTATTTTTATTTATAATTTACCTGTCATACCGGGACGCTCGAAATGGATTGACATTCGATTTCGATTTTTTTAAAAGTACAATAAAAAAAATTCGCTGATATTTATTTATGATGGAATAGGTGCAAATTAAGAAAAAAATTTACTTATATTATATTAGAAGAATCTTCAATCTTATGTAATTTAATCATAACAGTATTATATTATACGTGCACGTAAGTATAACATACTCATTGACTATATTATTATTGATTATAGAATGCTCAGGTAGGTTATACTAGAGATAAAAGCTTCAAAATTTATAAAATTTACCTTTATTAACGCGGCTGATCACGCCTAATAAAATATCTATTTAATATTCGTATTGCACGTTTCATTTATATGCTAATTTTGCTGAACCTGATAATACTTATTAATTACAAGAAAATATGTGTAATTTAATCGTAAGCTAATTTCATGCACACTAAGAATTCCTGTGTTTAGAGAATATTTGATTGCTGTTAATGATCACACCCTAAATATACACAAATATATATATATATATATATATAAATATATATATATAGGATATATATTTATTTGATATTTTACCGTAAATTATTTTTTGAAAACGTAGATCATGATTGCACGATTGTGATCCAGGAGCCAAATTATTAAAAAAAGTGTATCATTGACACATCTAGTTTTTTCTTACTAGCGTTTTTTAAAATGATTCTTATGTTTAAAAAAAATAGAATAAGAATAAGGAAAGAAATCCACTGGATCAACAAAAAATATGATTGTATACAGAAGTTTATTTAAATCAAGTTTATAAATAATTATTTATTAAATTAATGAACAATTATGCTGAAAGTACAAAAATATATACAGAGTACTTACAGCTTAATTTGTAACTTTTTGCATCGAACAAATGCTTCATTATATTGTATAGGATTAAAAAAAAAGTATCATTGACACATTTAGTTTTATTTTACTAGCGTTTTTTAAAATGATTCTTATGTTTAAAAAAAATAGAATAAGAATAAGGAAAGAAATTCACTGCATCAACAAAAAATATGATTGTTTACAGAAGTTTGTTTAAATCATAATAATTATTTATTAAATTAATGAACAATTATGCTGAAAGTACAAAAATATATACAGAGTACTTACAGCTTAATCGGTAACTTTTTACATCGAACAAATGCTCCATTATATTGTATAGGAATGTGTTGTCTTGTCTAACACCAAATACATATACATATATTGAAAAATCACAATCAATTAATAACAATATTGTTTATAAAAAAAATAATACGTATTATTTTTATGGAAACTTAGGAAGCAATAACTCGTTTTTATAAAAATGTGTTTGCTACAAAGCTCGAGCATATTCATGTAAAAACTACTAGGTGAAGGGAAACATATAACATCTATTAAACACGTAAAATATAATATCTATTTTGATATTATATTTTTACTGTATTTCAAAAGTCTCAAAAAATTTTCTAAATATTTATCAAACTATTTATTAGCTGAAAATCGAAAATGAAAATTTTTGAATTTATCCATGTTTTGAAGGTTTCTGAACATTTTGGCTTTCCTCAGGAAAAATGGATGTGTGTATGTGTGTAACATTTTGTTACGGTACGGGAAGTTCCAGCAATTTGTCTTAAGGCACGATGCCAGACACCACTAGTTTTGAGTTTTTTGAAGAAATTGCATTGTTTGAAGAATTGTTTTTATGTTGATGATGACGTTTATATGGATTTAAAATTAATTATCCATTGCATCTCATATTAAATTTAGTGCTGTTATTTTGTCAGGCTACAATCATAAGTTTTCGCATTTATAAAAAAAAATTAAACATTTGCATTTTGGATGTAAATATTGAATTCGTGATCATAATTGTGAAATAATTTATTCTATAATAGAGTAAAGCCGATTAACATGCAGTAGATAGATACTTTAGTAAGCAATTTCAGGTACAAATATAGTTATTGCAATCAATGAGATTGTTCAATTATTATGTAGAACTACTGCTACACCAGATGATTTGTTTGCATATATTCATGCACCAACACACACATGTATATAAATATATATATATATATATATATATATATATATGATTTTAAATATGTATGACAAATTTGTAATTTTCCAGTATCTTTTCATGACGCCCGTTTGTCATCAGAAAAAATATTCTTCGACATTTTCCTAAAAGTATATCTTTTGTGTTAATAAATTCCAACGAAGAATAGATCCCAAATTGGTTTGAAATTTCTGTGTAACATAAATTATTATCATTTGCGCATTCGTAGCACCTCGACGCCTCCGTTTTCCGAGATAACTGTTAGTATGAAGGCTTGTCAAAAATTCCATTTGAGTAAAAATATACAAATGAAAAATGATTATAAGAAATGTTAATTGCAAAACAACACCATTTGTGCGCAGTTCTACACCATTTATTATATATAAAAAAATATAAACATAATATAAATGATAGTAAAATTTAGATAAAACTATATCATTCTTATGATATAATATATACGTTGGAACAATAATCAGTTTTATTCACATCTTACATTTGTAACCAAATTATCACATATTGAGTCAAATATAAAATAAATCTCAAAATATCCGCATTATTGTTCTAAATTTAACATAAAAAATCTCATTTTACTTGCACAAAAATTGTTGCAAAATATTAGAAAAATTTATTCAAACTCTGTTAAGTCTGAGTACCAATTTTTGAACATTGTCAGCTAGTAGAACTATTTAAAACCTGTCTAGAATCTTACTCAAAAAATATAAGAGAGAAACTATAAACAGTCAAACAGTGATTTTGGTTTAATATACAATACTTAATACAATAACATACAATAATTAATAGGGGAGATTGGGTGCGGTTGTACCAGGTTACGGTAGTGACAGTCGTCACAACAGTTAAACTATACTGATTTTGAGATAGGGTCCAAAAGGAGAAAGATGAAGTATGCTCGTTCGAACAAGTTTTCGTTACTGCATTGAATCGAAATGCTTTTAAAGAGCATAAAAAAGTATTTTTTCAATTATTTTTATTAATAACTGTTACATGTATGCAGATAGATCACTTTGTTTATTATTTTGAGGGAAGTTGAACATCAGTAGTTAATTAGTTTTGTATCATGTGACATGTACATGTCGTGACATGTATTTCTTGTCCTTTTTGGATAAAATTACCTGAAATTGCTTAAACAGATAAATAAAAATATAACTTAAAGAAGACAAAATACAAAAGAGAAATGTGATGAAAAATTCAATAAAATAAAACAAAACCTAATACTATACTCACATAAATTTCTTGTTTAAAAAATTATGCTTTGTTATATATTGTTCTATTAGGGAAAAGTCCCGTAATGACGGCGCCAAGTACCGGACACTCTACACGTATTATTTTAGCAAGTATAAATTTTTTCATTTCAAAATACAAGTGAAAGGGGCACTGGTGGCACACAGGAACAAAATCACGCGCGAAACCTCGCCTGTGATGCACACGGCCACGGCGAGAGCCACTCTTTCCTGTTTTAGGCACAAAATCACGGCGTCACCTAAGTACCAATGGAAGTAATTCTAACATATTTATGCATTTACATTTGAGTGGTATGCAAAAATAAAAATTGTACTTGATTGTTATAGATGAATAGTGACCTTTTTGCAATATGTAAGAATATTCATCAAAGACACATGTACAGACATTCCAGAGTGTGGAGATGGCTACAAATGTGATCAATGCAGGTTATTTTGAAATGTCCGATACTAGATGCCACTATTCCAAATCATATTTTTTGACACCAAAGTTTTATTGATAGTATTAATTATTTTTTAGCAAAGATTGCGGTTTTTTTTAATTTTGTTTGATTCCTAACTTTGTTATCTAACATAAATCATAATTTAATAAACATTTCGTAAAATATTTTTTGATTTATTTATAAATAACCTTAGGTGGCCACTAGGGGACTTCCCCCTATATTTATTACTTTGTTTAAATGACAAAATGTCGTTATGGACCATTTTTTTTAGAAATATTTTTATGTCTATCACATCCGTTTCTTGGGTGTATGATTTGATTTTGTGACTAGCCATCATATTTAAAGGCAATATTTCAGTATTTCCACATAAACAAATGTACAAATTACTATTTAATTTACATTTCTCCCAGCTTACTGATAAATTAATAAAATAATTGTTTATAAAGAAAATTGGCACACAGTGGTAAAAATAGATCGTGTGAAGATATGGCAACTGTTTGGGTAAGAACCGACGTAGTTTTTAGAAATTCATTAGAACAACTCGTAGAACCCTGAAGTTCTGATTGCTGCTCAAAAAAAATCCAAATAAGGTATTTCCCACTGAATGGAGCTAAAATTTAAAATTCTAACATCATACTCTAAATTTAACCCCAGCTCTCTTATTATTTCCTTGAAGCGTGAAAAACTTCTGTAGCGAGTAGAGAAATGAGCGCACCGCGAACTCCGCGGCGCATCAGATAGAACAGAATGTTTTGGCTGATGAAAGACAAGTCTTGGCCCAGGGATGATAATCATCTCGCAATGGGAATGTAATTGTCCAGAATAATAGATACGGGTGCCTATCTTTAGCATGACGCTTTTGGACTGAATCATTGTATAGTATTCTGTTATATTTGTCACTTCAAGTCTTTGGAAATGCTGGTCTCATTTAAGAGGTCAGAGGTAATTGAATATCTAAGTGAATATACCTGTACATATTATATCATGTTCCGTTGATTAGTGTGTACAACAAATTGTTTGAAAAACTGTTAAGAACATTTCACATTTTATTTTTAAAAATAAATTAGATTACTTTATTTATCTTTAATATTCAGATGATCTTGACATAATATTACATTGTAAGGTGATGCTCGTAATGCATTTAATACCATTAATAAACAAACCATAAATCTAGCTTATATGTAATAGGTTCCAAGACAAGCAGCATTAATATTTCATAAAATCTTGAGTTCTTTACATAATGAAAATATATTAATATTTTGTCAGAATAATATGTTATGTTAATCTTTAGGCGCGATATTTTTAATTTGAAAATGACATAACAAATTATTTTAAAAAAATACATAATCCTTGACTATACGAAAATTAAAAGATTAAAAGATTCTTATGTAGGACAAAATAAGAAATTTTGCAAAGTACCTATTTAACAAAACTAGTTGTGCTATTTTTCCCTAAGGCAAGTTGCATGATTTATCGGACATGTATAAATAATCGACTTATAATAATGTTCCAAGACATGCGATATTAACAGTGGTGTTGTGCTAATATTTTTTTTGCCGGAACGCTAAAATTTAAAATCCGGTTCATAAACCGGTTAAAAAAATTTGATAAATTTCGATAAGAACTCACAAATGTAATATTTTGACTTATTATATAATTATCTATTATCTGTATATAATATCTATTATATACAGCTAGTCTATACATTAAATTGTACAAGTATGAGGGAATCATTGAGTACATAATTTATATTCTTCAATGACATTAATCATATTTATTCTGGTTATGATATAAACGTACTCAAGATTTATTACAATACTTTATAAGACTTATCTTAATAATATGATAGATAACCTATTACCTATCATACTATACTATTATATATTATTGTATATCATATATAGATATCTATTATCTATCATACCGTGAGATACCTATACCGTCATTAACTTATTATATACCCTACATAGCTTTTACTTCTTATAAATACTACTGTCTAATTTATATATTCTATTAATAATATGATAGATAACCTATTACCTATCATACTATACTATATTATTGTATATCATATATAGATATCTATTATCTATCATACCGTGAGATACCTATACCGTCATTAACTTATTATATACCCTACATATCTTTTACTTCTTATAAATACTACTGTCTAATTTATATATTCTATTAATAATATGATAGATAACCTATTACCTATCATACTATACTATATTATTGTATATCATATATAGATATCTATTATTATCTATCATACCGTGAGATATCTATACCGTCATTAACTTATTATATACCTACATACCTTTTACTTCTTCTAAATACTACTGTCTAATTTATATATTCACCTATATTATATAGGATTACCTTACGCCCTATGTATTATCTCCACCTTTTATATATATTATCTATTGTCTATACCGGGAATTGAACCCGGGACCTCCGCGTGGAAGTCGCGCACCTTAGCCACTACTCTATCGGGTACTCCCATTAATAATATAATATGGGACGCACTGTTGTTTCCGCGAATCATTTTCTAATTAATTAGATAATTAATACTGAGGTGGCGCGACGACACGCAAAATAAGACGGTTGATTGTAACGTTACGGTGGTGTAGTGGTTAAGGTCGTCGCGTTCCACGCGGCGGACCCGGGTTCGATTCTTGGTAGGGTTAATGTAGCGTGTAAAAAATATAGGTAATAGGATATATAGTAGATATAGGTTAGGTGTATTCGGTGTACAATGTAGAGATTTGAGAGTATGTGATGAAATATAGCGCATGGTATATAGATGTAAGGCATGTAGTCTAGAATGCAACGTATAGGCATACGTAAGGCTATAGAAATACACGAATAGAACCTATGATGTAGGTGTTAGCGTATAAGAAATGCGAATTTATATAAGATTTAATTTATAAATATTATTTTTTCTATAAGAAATTTTATCTCGATATTAAATATCTAAAATATCCGTTAAGGCGTCGATTACACCTTACTGCTGCCTTTACCGTTAACACTTCATAAAAAATTAATTACTTGCTTTTTTAAACGATTGTGTGCACTATGCGACAATAGACATAGAACTATAAATTTTATTAAATGCTTGAGTAACTTGTGCGGGCTGAATTTCTTAAGGGGGTATTCTACTGTAGAATTTTGAAAAAATCGAAAAAAATTTTTTTTCATATTTTCAAAGTTTATTTATTCAGAAATATGTCATTAAAAGAATTTTTCAAAATCACTATTATTTCCTGAGTTATATCCGTTTAAGTGACGTGGCCTCGGTTTGGGTCCGACCGAGTCTCAAAACTTTGAACGCGTTTTTCTCGGAACTACTTTTTTCGAGCTGGCGGTAAGGATATCTCGAGTTCTGAACCGATTTACTTCAAATTTGGAGAGGATCTTCTCTATACATCGCTTTATCGCATGGACCTTTCCCAAAACTATAACTTTTCATTTAGTATTTTTAGAAAATTCGGAATTGTTAAAAAAAAATGAAAAAAAATTTTTTTTTCAAACTGTCGCCATTCAAACAAAAAAAATTTTTTTAACTTATCCAGATTCATACGATAGCGGCATCTATAATAATTAAGAATCCATCTATTTTTTATGTTTCGGATCACCAGGAGGTGATCCATGCACCATGCACCCCAGGACGCCCTCTTTTTTTTGAGCCCCCACTTTGACTGCTCATAACTTTGTGAATTCTATTTTTTTTTAAATCGATAGTAAAAATATTATTTGTTTCCTTTATACAACGCTTCAAAAACCGGCCAAAATTCATGCTTCTACAGTAGAATACCCCCTTAAGGTGTTCTTAGTCTCGCAACTTACTGAATTCTAAAAATTCTAAATTTAAAAATATAATATAAAAATTATTATACCGCTATCTGGAAGGGATGGCAATTTATAAATATACAGACTAATATATACAGAATTTGGAATTTTTCTATAATCCGTAATATTGAGAAAGTTTGCATTAGACCTAAAAAGGGATCCGTATTTACCTAAGCTATGGAAATATATATGGAAAAATTGATCATAATATGTTTATCGAATTTTTAACAGTATTTACAAATTATATTCAAATCACCCAAAGCAAGTGGGTTAAAGTCGTGTAATTTTTTAATTTGCCTCCCCCCTCTGAATTTAAAAATGGATTTTTCTGTGGGGCGTGCGCCCCACGTTGGGAATTACTAGTCTAGGAGTACAATTTTTTAATCTATCAAAATAATCGAGTGATCATCAATTCCACAGAACCTTCATCAGATTTTCAAAAGATCAAAGTTTTTATGAATATGCATACAAATCTCAAATTGTAGGCCGAAATTGAGACGATAAGTCTATTGAAATATCAGGGTAACTCTTTTGCTATAAATTGTCAACTAATTTACCACTAAATAAATGTCAATAAAACAATGATTAAAAAAATTACCAATAGATCTTGGATTGTAAAAATTTACAAGCGATCGAACGGCTTATATTTTTGCCTTAGATGGCAAAAAATTCATCGAATTATTAAAATATTATTTTTTTTAAATTTAATTAAAAGCAAAAGAGTTCTTATGCTTTTGTATTTATAGAATTGCTTTTTCGCTTCAATCAATTTCCATTATATGAATGTCTTAAATTATTTATTTTATTCGATTAACGCCCGCTATGTCCGAAACAAGTCCAACTTATATCCGCAATATTAGGGTGTCAGACACTTTTCGGTCTTAAAGTAACATATGTGAAATTTGAAATACACTACTGTATTGTAATTAATATTTCAGTTCATACACCTCAATTTGTTACTAAATTAAAAACGACTTTGATAAAACCAGTGGTGTTGTGCTAATATTTTTTGCCGGAACGCTAAAATTTAAAAACCGGTTCTAAAACAAGTTTTCATGTTTTTTCCGGTTCCGTTCGAAAAGGAAAGAAACAAAAATTATTACAAAAACTCATTTTGTGCACATGTATGTATGTTTATTACAATAATAACATTTAATAAAAATTAGTTGAATAATAACGTATAAAATTTACTTATTAAATCATTTTCTGTATGTAGCGATTTTTTTATATTTTTTCTTGCCGGAACGCGTTCCGCCTGAAAATGATTTGCTGGAACGACGTTTATTACAATAATAAGAACATTTAATAAAAATTAGTTGAATAATAATTCATAAAATATACTTATTAAATTATTTTCTGTATGTAGCGATTTTTTTATATCTTTTTTTCCGGAACGCGTTCCGCCCCAAAAATGATTTGCCGGAACGACGTTCCGGCGCGTTCCGGCTCGACAACACCACTGGATATTAATTATTATTATATTATAAGTTCTTCGTAAATTATAGCTTCTCTATATAAAATGAAATTTTAGTTGAAACACCAGGCGTAATATTTTTAATTCAAATATAACTAATAATATATTCAAATTAATTAAAAAAAACAAAATTTTTGAAAAATACACTCAAATTAAGAGTATTATAAAATTCAAC